CATGCAGTTGTCTTTCGGTACGGTACCCTTTATTGTGGTCTCTGATATTTTCCACCCAGTTCTTCCCGACCTCAAATCATGCAATGTCGATTGAACATACATGACGGTTGTAATTTGAACTTGTCTGCTATACGAACGACCTTTAATTTCTGGCCCAAAGCAGCTGAAGCTTAACGTAAAGTGAAGAATATATGGTTCTAGAAAGTTCCACTTATAAAGGTTTTAAGCAAAAACTTGTTTTCGTGAAGAATCAGTGAAAAATTTGAATGCATTACATTCAGTAAGAGCTTTTTCTATCAACCAGAATGAGGAAGAATATAAATATTTTGACTAAAATAATTAGAGATTAGCATAACAAAAAGAAGAGGTAACATTTAATGTGTTTGATGAAAAATTGGCTTACGCCTCTATCGACAGGAAATGGTATAAGGGGGGCTCAATGCCATGTATTAATAGATGGCAGCAAGAGTTTACTCATTTACGCTTCACTTGTCACTTCTAGATTTTAGCTAGCTGACTGGCTTTTCAAGAGAAATGATTTGTGTAGTGCAAAGGTAAATCAACAGACCCAACCAATGGGTTACCTCTAAACGACCCACTCACCATCCACCGCACATTTCAAAGTCACCCATACTTCATCCCTAACAAATTATACATACGTTTTGTGTTTGGTGGATTGAAGACTAAATTACAAATATGATCGAGATCTATCTACTCGATACATGCAAATGAAATGTACGCAAAAAACCACCTTTTCAAAAGTAGCCAGCAGTATTTATTCAATTGGAAGCGAGTAGTATTTTTGCAAAGCAACTTGTGAGAAGATCTGCATTTTAGGTTGGGGTGGGAGATATTCCCGCGTTCTGCGGATCTTCAAGCGATGCTTATCATTCTTTCCTGGCACTAGATAATCACATGATTGCATGGGAAATAGAATAGACAGTTGGGAAAAAAAGGAGTAATATAGAAACATAGGTGGGCAGAGTTTGAATTTTTGCTTTCAGAAGAGGAAAGATGCATGAAAGTGTGATTTACAGCAATTTCGCGCATCATTGGGGAAGGATTGTAAGAAGGATTTTGCAGTTATTAATCTTTTATCGCTTAAAACCTTTGAAACTTATTTTGTTTCTAGCTATGTCCGCTAAGAGTAGTATTCTTTTTCTCTTTTTTGTTATCGTGCAAACTTGCTCCTATTTAGCACACAGGGTGGATTCCACATTGCTGTTTTCGGATCTGCTTAATTCACTTCATTTTCTACATCAACCCAAAACACCTTATTGTGATAAGACCCCTATCTATCGCCTTTCTGAAGTGATATATTGCTGATAAATTTGGTTTAAGTGGATTTTATTCAAATTTGGGGAAAATGATGACTTACAGAAGGTGTTCACGAACGAAAACGCCATTATGTATCTAATTAATTAATTTCCCTTGCTATGTCCCTCTCGACTTTTCCCTAAATATGGAATTAATTAAACCCTTCTATTAACGCTGAATAAAAAACGCTGCTTAGTTCCACATAGGTCTAACTATATTATAGAAGTATCCACTTAAATGCTTGGTTGTTATAATCTTTATGAGCTCTACTATCTTCTTCACTGCAAATTTATTTACCCACAACCAGTAGCTTGTTTTGCTTTAACAAAAGTGTCTTTTCTCAGGAGCATGATATAGCGGCCTAGGTAATTGACAGGAATAAGATGGCGAAGGATGGTTAGTGCTGCCAGTGTGAACAAAGAGTTTTAATAATTTCCTAAAGGAAAAGGAACCCAATGTGTAGTGAGGTCAAGAAAGTGACAATTTTTTGATTAATAAACTAGGGATTGAGGAAGTATGCAAAATGAGGGTGAAAAAGGACTTGAACATTAGTGTACACAGGAGGAGGTCGTTTAAAAGTCCTTTTAATCGCACGTAGTGTGTAAATTGCACCTGTAATGCTACTAATAAGAAAATACAAATTTATGCAAACAAGAATTACAAATGAGGTATTCCGAGCCTGAAACCACACAGATATTCATAGGTGTAGCATTTCTATTTATTGGGTATATTTGAGGTTTTTAATAAAATTTCAGAAGTGCCTTTCAGGGCATAGATTTGATTCACGTAGTTGTACGTTAAAATGCTTAAAAGAAGGCCTTTTAACTCCTTCCAGTTATTATTTTCCGTCAACAACTCTTTAAGATAAGGGGAGCGCGGCAAGTGCAAATATTTGCTGACTTTATTTGGCTTGTCGGCCTGGACTAGCAAAAGGATTAATTGTTTCACCTTGTGGCAATTGTGCCTTTACTAAAATATATGAAAGAATGTCCCATATTTATGCGTATTTCATACACACTTGTTAAAATATATTTTGCACTACTAAGTAGCTGAATTGTTGATCCTTTGACAAGACGTATAATCTATTTGAAACAAAACCGAGCTCGACTAGTCACTGCCAACCATTGCTTTTGTGATGTGTGCGAGTGTGTGTAAAATTTCTGTGAAAGTGACCCACTTTCAGAAAAGTGTCACCACGGCAACATGACACATCTGTGGTATTTGCGTAATACTGTCTTCCATAGGAGACACATTTTAGTGAACTGCACTTGCCACATAAATGAATACCAAAAATCCTACCCACACTTCATACAATGAATTATTTCCTTGGAAAATATTCCTCACAATCTCACTTATTCCCAGGAATAAGAATTGATTGAAGGTGTTTACTTAAACAAAATACTCCTTACGGATTTGTGGCCGTTTCCTATGGAATTTGGTTTAATGGCGCCATGTTTGATAAGAATCACAGACATTTTTAACTAGTAGCCGCCCACTTTAATAGCGCGCTATTTTGGGATATTTCTGTGAGTTACGTGACATTATTGAGTAAACAATAAGATAGGATACTTTAACTTTTGCGACTTGTGCTTAAGAAGCCTCAGATCTATCTTACCGCTCTTGTAGCATGGTGATATTGTTATTGGCATAACGCAACTTAAGTGTGTTTTTTTGGCTTTCGCCCACCAAACAGTCCTGCCATGGGCTCGATTGACTCTGGCGTCAGAAGTACAATACCTTCATTAGAAATACTCTTATACTATTATTCAGCATATTTTTTGATTTAAAAGATTTTCAAGACTAGAGTTCCGCTTGTGCATGTCATTTATTTCCGTTGAAGAATAATATTTCTTAATTTCCTCCTGCTAAAGCAAGATTAATCCAGCATCAAATAGGTTATGTTTATGTTAATTAAACTTGACCTTCTTTAAGATAAGGCAAAACATAATCATAAATAATCATTTTTGGCGCAAGTAGGTTTATTGTTATTCGATGATACAAGAAATGCCTGATGATGGAATAACTTCGCCTAACTACTTTCAGTGGTTGGCCCTACTTAGAAAACAGTAAAAATAGTTTGCAAATCCATTCTTGTTTGTTTGAATTTCGAACATTCGAAGTCGGCACGACAACTAAACACTGAACAAATCTAGCCAAATTATTTGGTATTGCACAAGACTTTTACAGGACTTTTGAAAGATACGTTTCTAGTGGATCATCAGCTCTCACACTAAGATTAACAACGTACAGTATTGTTTTAGAAAAAAAGGAAATTAGCCTTAGCTAACATATTCAGCAAATGCAGAGTAACAACTGTTAAGTTTTGTGTTAAAATAAATCATATAACTTGGGATTATTTAACAGCTTTTTGTAAATGTATTTCCAGTGCGGAAACCAACTCGAAGGAATATGTTGCTCTAAATGGCCTCTTAAAGTCATTTAACATTAATTTTACTTTCTAGGCGCTAACGCTTTTTGCCATGAAGGATAAATGAATGGATCTACTTTTCCCTCCCTCTCTCCTCTCCCTCCTCTCCTGAGAAAAAAATACAACTTCTAATCGTTGACATTGGATGTACATTTCAATAAAAAGTGTGCATTCTTGGAGTTCTGCACCTCAAGAGCTTATTGATAACAGGCTTGTTCATGGAAGATGTCAAAAAATAATTTCTTCACTAACTAGTTTGTTACACTTCTTTACCAAGAGGTCAAATTTATACAAAATGTGCACCGCTATGTTCTTGAAGTTTGTCTGCGTGCGCCACATCCTCACCGTCTCAGTGTTCAGTGTGCATTTAAGCATTTCTCAGGTTTATGTACGGATTTTGTCCTGGAAGAGGTGCATATTTAATCCAATCTCGTAAACATCCACTTTTTACAGATTCAGGGGCTTATCGTTTATGGAGTGAGTGCTCAGTTTCCCCCTCAATATAATCTGGAATTCTCATTACGGGAAAACCTTAATGTTCATAATAGGATGCAATCATTCTGCCTGAAGTAACGGTATTTTTAAGCCTCCTTTATTAGTCGAATCAAACTTCCTCAATAAATGTCATAGTAGCCTGAACCATGGATGCAGCCAATTAGATTTTTCGCCCAATTAAATTTCAGAATACTTTCTAAATTTTTCTTGCTTACGCTAGAATTTGGAGGAAAAAAATTTTAGTTAAATTTAACGATGGCAGTGAATTTGTCAAACAATACAATGTCAGCATCTACAAGGTTCTGTAAATACAACATTTATTTGGCACAATTTCCATCAAAACTAGTCTAATTTCCACTTTCTTTTATAATAAAAGGAAGTAATAAATGTTATTTGACAATTTAGCACTTCCGACCTTTTTAGTTTACCTATTCAAGTATCAGAATTAATTCCCAGAAAGTCAATTATCATTAGTGAGTGAAAGTGGAACGAACAAGTTTTAGTAGTTTCGAGAAAAAGGTAGTGTTAATCTGGCTACGATCAGCCAGCCTTTCTTCCTCAAAATTTTATTATTTTGCCTCATTATTTGTTCCAGTTTTTAAGTAGGAGAAGGTGGATTTTTAGTACAATTCATGTCTACCTTTATAACTTATAAAATTCCCATAGCGCTTTATCAAACAAACAATTCTACATCAGTTTCAAAATACATAAACTAAAAAGGATGTTTGCGTGATTACTCAGGTGAAATGGATTACACTAAAAGGTAAGGCGAATAGCAAGAAGCGGGTGCAAACTGACACTTTTTCTTTACCTTGAATTGATACATTGACAGAACCAATAAATAATCTAGAGGGTACACGAATTCCTCTAGGCAAATAGCTAATCACAACGCCTGTTACAGTGGTGTAATTATTGCCCAAGAGTACGAAGTAGTATTCCACTTGAATGTTTTTTGACTTTCATCACACGGGGGACATGGAAAGTAAATCCAGGTACTTTTTTAAAAATTAAATAATGTATCAAAATCCATTTTTTAATGGAAGGAAAAATAAGTGAAAAATGAACTCCGCTTCAAAGATAAGTACAGCCATCTATAGAATATCCTAAATATACCTAGGATATTTATTTTCCCAAAATCTGTGTAGAATTGAAATACTTCGATAGGAGATGGTAACGTATTTCCTTCAGATGCAGTAGTTTTTTCTTGATTGATATGATAGACAAATGTAGGTGCTTGTCATATGCCTCTTTTTATCTGTAACAGTTTCTTCATTCATCAACAATACAGTTAGGAAATATGTGATTGAAAGACAAGTCCCAAGTTATTGTGTTAAGGCAAATCCATCTCCTTCATGATCTGAAGTCATTTGAACATTTTTATAAATGACTGACTTGGGAAATTGGTTTTTGTAGGAAGTAAGTCAAAAAATTGCATTTAGAATAAGTTGTTTGGGAGAGCCGCCTGCTTGACTTCGCAACTTCCTCTTCCCAGTTGATGCAAGCTTGAGCCGCTCATTTTATTTTGTCAAATGGAACATTATCACACGCATTTCTCCACACCCTTTTCACTTATTCCAATCCACACCAACAGGTTATTCTTCATAATTATTAAGACTAGAGGGTCTTTCTGAAGGTGACTCATCACTCATCTTTCAATGATTTGCCAGCAGAATTAAATTATTTATTTTGCTTTTGATGGTACGCTATTGTGCTATCATTCCAAACTTTTTCAAAATTCTATATTACTTATCTTAAGAGAGGTGTTTGAAATTTTGGGAAGGAGGTGAGGAAAGTATGAATGAAGTGCCTCATGCCTAAACAACATTCCATGAAATGGAATGAATCCAAAGAAGTTGGAGATTGATGGGCAGTACTACAGCATTCCAAGTCTTCCATAAAGCCATAATAAACCACAGTAGTGAGGAGTAGTATTTATTATTAAAGAACAGAAGGAATAGGGAACCTTAGGCACAGGTAGGGAGCTGTGACCCGGAACGGTGATACAGTTAACGAAAATATCAAATTTTTGCAAAATGATATATAGTACTGCACAGCTAGCCTACTGCATA